TCATATAAAAGAAGCAGAAGAGCTTTTACAGTAGAAGGAAGGATGGGAGATGGCAGGCAATACTTGAATCTTACTCTCATTAGAATTGGCTCAAAAAGGGAACAACATACATATTCAGTTGGGTATAAAAATTTATCTTACTGTATAGAGAAGTAGGAGGGGATGGGCATAAGGGGGTGGGGGCTGATAGAAGGGAGGGGAGGATAGGAGGCAGCAGTAGTCAGAAGCAAAACAATTTTGATGAGGAACAGAGTGAAAGGAGAGAGAGAGAAGGATATATGGGAAAAACAGGATAGAGGAAAATACAATGGTATCATAACGGTAAAAAAATTTTTTACCACAAGTTTCTCTGATAAAGTCCTCATTTCTCAAATAGAGAATTGAGTCAAATTTATAAGAATATGAGTCATTTCACAATTGATAAATGGTCAAAGGATATGGAAGGCAGTTTTCAGAAGAAGAAATCAAAGCTATCTATAACCATGTGAAAAAATGTTCTAAATCACTATTGATTAGAGAAATGAAAATTAAAACAATTCTGAGGTACCACCTCATATCTATCAGATTGGCTAATATGGCAGAAAAGGAAAATGACAAAGGTTGGAGGGGATTTGGAAGAACTGGGATAGTAAACCAGTGCTGGTGGAATTGTGAACTCATACAATCAGTTCTGGAGAACAACTTGGAACTATGCCCAAAAGGCTATAAAACTGTGCATACCCTTTGACCAAGGAATACAACTACTAGGTCTGTATCCCAAAGAGATTTAAAAAAAGGAAAAGGACCTATATGTACAAAGATATTTATAACAGCTCTTTTTGTAGTGGCCGAGAATTGGAAATTGAGCAGATGCCCATCAACTGGGGATAGGTAGAATAAGTTGTGGTATGTGACTATGATGGAATCCTATTGTGTTGTAAGAAATGACTGCAGGGGCAGCTAGGTAATGTAGTGGATAGAGCACTGGCCCTGCAGTCAGGAGGACCTGAGTTCAAATCTGATCTCAGACACTTGACACTTACTAGCTGTGTGACCCTGGGCAAGTCATTTACCCCCACTGCCTAGTTAAAAAAAAAAAAAAAAAGAAATGATTGTAGGAAGCTTTCAGAAAACCTGGAAAGACTTTTATGAACTGATGCAAAGAAACAGGAGAACAGTGTACACATTAACAACAATACTGTACCATGATCAACTCTGATTAATCTAATCAAGACAATGATCCAAGACAATTCCCAAAGACACATGATGAAAAATGCTATCCACCTCCAGAGAAAGAACTGATAGAATCTGAATGCAGATTAAAGCATATTTTTTCCTCACTTTATTTTTCTTGTTTTTTTTTTCTTTTTTTGGTCTGTTTTCTTTTATAACATGACAAATATGGAAATATGTTTTGCATGATGGCACATGTATAACCTGTATCAAATTGCTTGCATTCTCAATGAAAGGGGAGGGGAAGGAAGAAGGGAGAGAATTTGGAATTCAAAATTTTAAAAGGTAAATGTTAAAAATTGTTTTTACATATAATAGGAAAAAACAAAATATTAAAATGTAAGAAGTGACAAACAGGAAGAAGTCAGAGAACTTTGGGAAGATCTGCTATGAACTGATACAGAGTGAAATGAGCAGAACTAGGAAATTAATTTACATGATGACCCCAATATTGTAAATGAAAACAACTTGTGACTAATCATGACTTCAGAAGACTGATAATGAAGCATGCTTCATGCTTATTGACAGAGAGATGATAGAACAGAGGTACAGAATGAGATACATGTTTTTGGACATGGCCAATATATTAAGGGAGGACTTACACTGGGAGTGGAGGTGGAGGCTGAGTCAGTAGGAAATGAGAGAATTGTAAAAAAAAAAGTTGGTTCAATAAAATAAAAAAATTTTCAGAGAGGAAAATGAAAAGAAGATCTGAAGGAGATAAAAACATCCAATATGCAGAGAAGCACAAAAAAAGGAGTGAGAAGAGAGAAAGTGGAGGCCATGGATGCAGATGGTATCGTCCCATACCCCTCCAGCTGAGCTCTGAAATCAAACAGAAAGATAGGACGATAGCTTAAAGGGACAGTAGGGCCAAGTCAAGGTTTTTAAGGCTGGAGAAGACCTGAAGCAAGTTTATAGGAGGGAGGGAAGAAGGCAATAGATAGGGAGAAGTTGAAGATTGAGACAAAAGGTATGATTGTGGAGGCAATTACAGATAGAATCAGAGGTACAATTAGAAGAGCTAGTGTTGGTGAGGGGAAGGTCCACCTCTTTATCAGACTGGAATAAAGGAGGAAGGATGATGTCAAGTTATTTTGTGATGGAGGGAAAAAGGAGAAGAGTGGGTGAATAGCAAATGCCCTCTTTTTTCTCAGTAACATCTGAGGTGAGGTATTTTGATGATATTGTAGGCGAAGGGGTGTGTGGGAGGCTTGAGGAGAGAAGGTTTGGAATAGCTGCTAAGGGAAGTTCAATAGAGTGAATTAAGAAACAGTAAAAGGATTATCTTGCTATAGACCAGGGTGGGGAACCTGCAGCCTGGAGGCCACATGTAGCCAAAAATCCAGGTCCTCAAGTGCAGCCCTTTGATTGAATCCAAACTTCACAGAATGTGCACACTTGAGGACCTAGAAAGCCATGTGTGGCCTCGAGGCTGCAGGTTCCTCACCACTGCTATGGGCTTTAAAAAAAAAATCTCCCAACAACCAGAGTTATCCAAATGTAGAATCAGATGCTTTGGGAAGTAATCTGTTCTCCATCACTTGAGGTCTTCAAAATAAATCTAGATGGCCATTTGTTGGGATGCTGTAGAAGGCATTCTTAGGCTGACCTAGATGGTTTCAGAGGTCTCTTCCAGTTCTGAGATTCTGTAATTCTGAGTCAGTGAAAGAAATACAGGTATAGGAGGAGAGGTAGGTCATACAAGCCAAAGGAAGACAGTTTCAGGGTGGAGGAAGCTGGTCATTAGTGTCGAATATACTGGAGAGGTCAAGAAAATTTGGATGGAAGAAAGAGCAGTTTCAGCAGAGTTGTAAGTAGAAACCACATTATGAAGGGCTAAGGATGGAGAAAAGGGAGGCACTGGGAGGTAATAGGCATAAATCACATATTTTTAGAAGTACAGCAATGAAAGGGAAAAAAAGATATAGGATCATAGATTTAGAACCAAAAGGGATCATAGGGATCATCACTGATATGACGGAACTCATTATTTTTCTCTTTAAACTCTCCCCTCCTCCTACTTTCCCTTCTCGTCCCTCAAGCTCGAAAGCATGGAGTAATCCTGGATTCCTCATTACCTTTCATTCCTCATATTTCAACTGCTGCCAAGGCTTGTCAACCTCACCTCTGCAGCATCTCTCCTATACATCTCTTTGTCTCCTGACACTGCTACACTCTTGCCTGCTGGTGAGCCTGCCTGCCTCAAGTCTCTCCCTACTCTAGCTCATCCTCCATTCAGCCACCAAAGTAATTTTCCCAAAGCACAGGTTTGACCATGTCATACTTTCACTCCCTACCAACTCCCAATTCCCCACTCAATAAACTTCCAGTGTCCTCCCAGATCAAACACGAAATGCTCTGTTTGACATTCATAGCCCTTCATAACCTAGCTCCCTTCTACCTTTCTAGTCTTCTTACACCTTACTCCCCAAAATGTACTCTTTAACCCAGTGACACTGGCCTTCTGGCAGTTCCATGAACAAGATCCTTTATCGCTCAAGCCCAGGCTGTCCCCCAAGCCCAGAATGCTCTCTCCCCTCTACTCTGATTACTGACTTCCCAGCATTCCTTTAAGTCTCAACTAAAATCCCACCTTCAGTGGCAGACAGTGGTTAAGTGGCTTGTCCAGGGTCATACAGTTAGTAAGTGAGTCGGGCTGGATTTGAAGTCTTCCTGACTGCAGGGCCAATATTCTACAGCACAGTAGTGCCATCCAGTTGCCTCCAATGTAGTAACTCACACTGGATAATCGCCTTATTATTGTATTACTTAATGGGCTATGTTAATTATATTATGCTGTAACACTTAAATGAGTGGTGTTTGATGATCATCCAAGTATCAACGTTTTATATTTCCATAGTCCTTTAAAAGCTTACAGAGCACTTTCTTTCTGATGACTGTGTAAGATGGAGAGTGTAATATTATTAGCTCCCTGTGATAAATGAAGCGAAAGCTCAGAGAGGTTGACTGCTGATTCCATGGTCACAGAGGTAGTCAATGTCAGAGCCAGCATCTGAACCAGGTCTCTTGACTCTTGATGCAGCCACGTTTCTGGTACATAAACACCAACTTCTGTAGTACAGTGGGAGGTGAGAATGGGGAAGGAAAGTGACTGGGGGCCAAGATGAATCAAACGACAGTGGGCTGCAGGGTTGGATGAAGCTCCAAAGATGTGCCACAGCTCAAGATCTCCTTGGTACATGGGCTGAGGCAGTTATTTTTTTTTTTTTCCAGGCAATTGGGGTTAAGTGCCTTGCCCAAGGTCACACAGCTAATAAGTGTCAAGTGTTTAGTCTGAGGCCAGATTTGAACTCAGGTCCTCCTGACTTCAGGGCTGGTGCTCGATCCACTGAGCCACCTAGCTGCCCCGGCATCTGATATTTCCTTGAGGATGGAAGCAAACACCTGGCAAGTGTGGTATCCATAGAGTCAGACTTCAAGATTTTTATAAGCTACATAATGCAGCACCTCTAAGCAGAACTACTATTCCTCAGATTGAAATGCCCCAACTTGTTTTCCTGAAGTGACAATTTTATGTTACTAGATTGGTACAAATTTGAAAATATTTTAATTTAAAGGTGGTTTTTAGATTTCTGGTTTTCTGCAATAATACACCTAACTGAAGGTCCAATAAGAATTGGAAATCAGATAAGAATGAAAATGAATTAAGTGGGAGAAGAGGGAAGACTATTTAGTTTAGGTTATCAATTCAGACTGAGGCAATAAAACAAAAATAAGGAAGGGCAGAAGAAATGTAAGCCAGAGAACAGAGAGAGTCTGCTCACCTTGTCCATGCTGGCCTGGTTTAGTCTCATGATGGAGCAGTGAGCCAGGCGATCGTAGATTGCTCTCAGGGCCTTCCTGGAATAGAGCTCTTGGGGCTTGAACAGCTCCTCCAAAAATTTTTTATTGAACATGGTTGTGATGATGTCATTCATAACTGTAAAGAAAAAAACAGAACCTAGCTGAGTAGTGTGCAAGAGGAAACTCTTCAGAAGCATCCAAGAAGGACGCACCTGGGAGTACACAGGTCTAGGCTTGGCTGCACTTTTTATAAAATGCTACCAGGAGAGGAGTGCTACAACAGAAAACACAGCTCACAAACAGAGGATGGAAAGCCTTGCAGTGGATAGAGCGCTGGCCCTGGAGTCAGGAGGCTGTGAGTTCAAATCTGGCCTCAGACACTTACTGGCTGTGTGATCCTGGGCAAGTCACTGAACCCTGTTTGCTTTAGTTTCCTCATCTGTAAAATGAACTGGAGGAGGCAATGGCAAACCACTCCAGTATCTTTGCCAAGAAAACCCCAAATGTGCAAGGCACTATGTTAGGTTATGAGTGAGGGATGTAAAGATAAAAATTGCAATCTGGGCTCTCAAGGATCTGCAGCCTTCTGGGGTAGGAGGAGGAATAGGTTTTCATAGAAAAGAATAGTACAAAGCAGGGGGTGACAGGGTAAAGGAGAAATCCTGGGAAAATGCTCCAAGGAAATTTTAAGAGGGAGAGGACACCCCTGGTAGCCAAGCTGAGTCATGCATGTAGTAGACATTTAACACATTTTGGTTGAATTGAAAGGAAGATGAGGATTACTAAAAGCAGCACTGAAGAGGCAAAGTGGCTGAGGCACTGTGGCCAGCCTGCTCAAACTCATGGAGGTGGGAGACAGGCTGTGCTCAAAGGACAGTCCAGTGTAGCTGGAAGGTCGTGAAGGGGATGATCTGAAATAAAGCTGGAAGGGAGGTGGAAGCCAGATTGTGAAGGGCCTTAAATGCCACCGTAAGGACTTCATAGGCCACTGAAGGCATGGCAGTTATAACTGTGTGTCAGGAAGCTAATTTTAGCAGCTGTGTGAAGGATGGCTTGGAGGGGGAGAGACTGGAGGCTTTCATAAGCCTATCATAGCCCAGAGAAGAGGACGTCAGGGCCTGGACCAGAGCAGCAGAAGTGTGAGTGGAGAGGAAGGATGGGCACGAAAGACAGGATAGAAACAGATCCAACAGAATTTTGGCAACTGACTGGATATGGGAAGAGGGAGGAGTCAGAGGTGACTCTCAACCTAGGTCACAAGGAGGAAGGCATGGCATTAAAGAAACAGGAGAGTTTGAAAGGTGAATTATTACTCCAAAATGTGAGAAAGCTGACATGGCTGCTTTCCTCTTCCCCATAGCGAGTGCTAAGTTGTATAGCTAAGTCAGAGTTTTCAGGGCTCAGAACTGGGTAGGAAATATTTGTAATAATGAATATATAAGTCCCTCCCTATCTGTAAGCAATAATGAAGCCATAAGACATCTTAAAAACATTTTCTAATTGGTCAATTCTGTTCCAACTCTGGATGGAAGGGCCATGGCTAAAATAACAGTTTAAAATTTTTTTTTCTACAATCCACAAAATAATGGTGTGGCAATCCTCATTACTTCCTATTTCTTGAATTTCGAATTCTACTCTAGCAACCATGTTATTCACTTGAAAATAACCAACATCAAATCAACATCGTATATTCATTCCTCATGTCTTATAATTTAGATCTAGATTGTTAGAACAGTAAGGGTCTTGAAAGATAATTTGGTGCAATCCCTTCATTTTACAGATAAGGAAACTGGGGCAGAAAGATTCGCCTCAAATCACATAATAGGATAATTGTTGGCCATAGCCTTGATTCTTTTCCCACTAAGTATTTATTTAAAAAAAAAAACAACTTCCTTTTTGCTTTATCTTAATGTATACTAACATTTCACCTTAATGGGTTAAAAAACCCAACAACATCAAATTCATTACCTTCAAGCTCATGGTATTTTCTTACTCTAAAACACATATCTTTTGTTTCCTTCATACCTTAACTATTCTGAAACGATGAAAAAAAAACAAGTAAGTGGTTGCTTTGAGGCTAATGATTCAAATTTATCTAACAATTTAAGGTCTAAAAACACTTCCCATAAACAGTCCTGAGAGGTATAGAGTGCAAATGTGATATCTCCATTTTACAAATGTGGCAACTCAAGCTTAGAGAGGTTAAGTGCCTTATCCATCATTACACAAATGAGACCCCATCAGGAAGCTTAAAAAAGAATAGAGTCCTTTTCTCAGAGATAATAGTGGTTAGGGCAGAGAGGAAAGTAGTAAGAATCCACCCTACAAAGTAGCACTGGCAACCCTGTGAGTCTGTTAAAACTTAGAAATAGCTATCAGCTAGCTCTGGGATACTTTCTTTTCTCTGGGACCTTTGAGTACCCTGCAGGAATCCAGGGAAAAAAAGAGATTAGGACCAAAGGAAGCTATTCTAAAGGAGAGCTGGGCTCCCCAGGTAATGAGTTAACCATGCTGGCAAAGGAAAAAAGGAAGTCAAATCTTCCCTTCTGAAATGTGAATAGTCTATCCTGGTTATAATAGCTCCTTTTAGGAGAGCAGTCCAAGAACCCTGGCAGAGAGGAGGCAAGAGCACAAATGGAGTTGACTCCCTGCGGGTGGGATGCAAGGAAGATGAAGTGTCAGAGGAGAGAGAAAACCCTTGCTGTTTTATGGTTGGGGTCTGGTGATCCATTGCTATCACCCTTGCTTAGACTTTCAATGAAGGCTCGTACCTGGGTTGTTACAATAGTCTCATGATCTGTCTCCTGTATCTCCCTGTTCTAAATTATGTCACTGCTCCGACAAAATAATCTTCCTCATGCACATGCCTGATCTCTCCAGTGACCTATGGAATAAAGTCCAAACTCCTTGGCACGACACAGAAGATCTTCTGGAATCCACCCCCTTTCTACCTTTCCAGCCCTATCACACCACTAACTCATCATGCTCCAACCAAACTAAGCTACTTGTCCTTCCCTAAACAACTCGGTACTTTTATCCAGGCCATTCCCTCTGCCTGGAATACTCTCATCTCGGTCTTTGTTGAAACCTTCTTCAAGCTTGGTTTACATGTTACCTCCTCCACAAAAGCTTTCCTGGTCCCCTCAATGAGAAGAATCTTTCTTTCCTCAGGACCCTTACAACACTGCCCCTTTCTTATGCACTCAGTGGGTTCTTTTTTGTATGATAATTATTAGAGTGAAGGTTCTATGAAAGTGGGGAGCATATCATCTTTCTATCTTCCCCTTGTCTATAATGCCCTCCAAAGCACAGGCTTAGTGAATAGCTGTTTCTTTAAAGAATATCTCATTTTATGACCACAAAAATGACCATGTTTTTAAATAGTCCATTTCATGCCAAAGATATACCACAATCTTATACATCTATTTGTACCAAATAACAGTCTTTGACACTCAAATAGGAGGTCATGTGATCAAAACACATTACTGGTGTCTATAAAACCATGAGATAGGGCAGTACCAGATGCTGCAGTCAGTCTATAAGTATTACTAAGCAATGCTGGGAATACAAAGACAGGCAAAAAACAAGATCACGCCCCCAGGTATCTTACAGTCTAATGGCGGAGACAACATGCAAACAAACATGTATATACAAGATCCATACAGTGGGAATGAACAAAGCATTTATTAAGCACTTACTATGCGCAAAGCACTGTGCTAAGAGCCGAGGACACAAACAGAAAGGGAAGACAGTCCCTACACTTAAGGAGCTCATATGCCAATGAGGGGGACAACACAAATGGAAGGTTTTCAGCCACAAGTCAAATGGAGAAGTCCTGTGGATCTTAGCATACACTGGCTAAGCAGACGGTGATGCTTCTTCTTTGGTTTCATTTCTACTGATTAAATCCTATTACTTTCTGATGCTGAGTCATTGGATGGCGCCAAGGACTTTGGTGACAAGAACACTCCTTTCTGGGTCTTCAGCAGCTTTGGCCACAGTTGCTGCAGGAGTCATTGCCAGGCTGCATCTGCTCAGGGGTAGCTTCCCAGGATGATGGCTGAGGGCATGGGCAAGGTCGCCCTTCCCTTCCCAGGAAAAGTGCAACAGAAGTACCTCTAACCCCTCTGTTCCTCAGCATCATTCTAGGCCATTATCCGTGCTTTGGTTACACTCTCCATTCTTCTCAATCTTGACCCCAGTCCAACTCCACACTATCCTTGACTCTTCATTTTGATTCCTTTGCTCCTATGTCATACTACGGCCAATTAAACCAGGATAAACCTCAACCACGAATTATTCTCACCATCAACCTCCTTTGTCCCTAATCACACAATCCTGAATGGAACTGGATGAAATCATGAAACAGGGCAAACTGGATCCACTTTCAATCTAGGTTAGTTAATCTCAACCAGACTCTCACTATGGCAAGGCAAGCCTGCTAATCCTCCCTGATACCCTATCCCATTCACCACAGCAGCTGTTCCAAACCCTTTAGCCTCCTTTAGTAGCTACTCTCCCCCTACTCTTGATGCTGAGAATGTTGCCACATACTTTACCGAAACAACTGAAGCCATTTGCCGAGACGGCTTCCCTTCTCTCCCCTACTCATCTCACATTCCTCTGACACGTTCCCCCAATATGCCCTCCTTCATTCCAGCCTCTGATGATGAGGTCGTCCTTCCACTTGTCAAGGCCAACCCTCCTACACAAACCCTTGATCCTACTTACTCCAGCAGACTTGTCTTCCTTATTATGTCCAATCTTTAATCTCTGCTTACCCACTGGCACTGTGTCTGATGCCTACAAACATACCCAAGGCTTCACTATCTTTACAAAATCCTCACCAGATCCTACCATGCCCACCAATTGTCATCATATATCTGCCTTTCTCATCTAAACTTGGAAAAGCCATCTACCACTGGTTTCTCCCCTTCTTTTCTTATTCTCTCCTAAACCCTCTGCAATATGGCTTCAGACCTTGTTATTCAACTGCAACTGCTCTCTCCAAAGTTACCAATGATATCTTAATTGTCAAGTCTATTGGCCTCTACTTGATCTTCATCCTTCTTGCTCTATAGCATTTGATACTGTTGAGCATCTCCTCCTGTATACTCTCTCCTCATTAGATTTCTG